TCGTCCCACAGGCTCTGGTGAGGGGGGAAGCCCGGCGTGGTGGGCGTCGAGGGCGGGGACTGCTTGAAGTACATGGAGGTGCTGGGCATCCCCTCGTCTGTGGACGGCGGCAGGGACTGTTGGTAGGAGGAAAGCCGGGCGTCTTCCATCTTTATGAGGGGCCTCTGACCGGAGGAGGAGGCGGACTGCATTTGGTAGAGGCAGGAAGGCTTGAGCTCGTAGCTGCCGGAGTAGCCCTCCATGAAGGTGCTGAAGCTGGGAAGGGAGGTGGTGGCGGTGGCAGTGATCTCGGTGCTACTCAGGTCCATGGTCAGCTTGGCGTAGTCGGGATTCATGATCTCCGAGCCGTACTCCGAGCCATACGCGTAGGTCTGAGCTGCATAACTCGAACCAGGCGGTGAAGGGCTATACTGCGCTTGCACACAGGGCATATCTGCAAGGGCAAAGGGAGACGTTAGCGACAAGCCCGGCACGCAGAGGCGGCACCTCAGCCCCTTGCTAACTCCTTGCTTAGGAGCTTTCCCACGTTTCACGGAGCTCGGCTAGACACCCGACTCCCGCGCCCACCCGGACACGGGAAGTATAAATTAGCTTTGAGCCCTCGCCTTTCGACAAAAATTACGTACTAGGGATCGACTAAGTATGAGGCACGAGGGATCCTGCTCTCATTTAGTCACTGGAGCAACTCAGATTTATACTAATGTCAGCGAGAGTATAATCCGTCTCAAACTGCCCTCGATCTGCTGCTTAATATATACAGGTGTCAATGAGAATTAAATGAGTACAATGAAAACAGTTTATGGCTCTAAATCTATCTCTGTATGTGCGCAACTGTGCCATAAAATTTTCATGAAGGGTAAACTAGATTATGAAATGTGTAATATTAGAAATTACATTTATTTTAAAAGGAACAGTACCTATAGTGTTTGTCAGCTCAGAGAAACAACTCAAATCACAGTATTTTCTACTTAGGACTTGCAAACATCAATTTTGCTTACTCCACTGTGGGCCTTCAAAGCATATTTCTGGTCAGATAATAATTTAAGGCTGGTGTCTAGCTAGTTTTAAGGCTTATGCGTGGTATAACATTCTGCTAAAAAAGTGGGTGGTACGACGTATCCCCAAATTTTCAAAAATGTAAGGGAAAAAGTATGAGGTATTTCTGTTTCTGTTTTTATAACAAAGCAAGGTTTAGGCTGACAGTATAATGCTTTTTTCCATTAGTCATAAAAGTTAATGTGGTTCACTGATAGCTAGAATGATTGCAGCAACACAGTCACTGTCTATAAAGATTTTATTTTTCTTTTCCACATTTCCTACTATTCTGCTTTCCTCTGCTGCTCGCAAGAAATAAGGGACCCAATTCTGCAATCCATCTGAGGTTTGCTTGATTAAACTCTGTTAGGTTCTAGCTCAGTATCTGCAACCAAAACTAAAAGCACATGATGAGTTTCGGTTCCACAGCACAGGAATAAAATGCATTTTTTCATCAGTTGCTGTAAATTCTCTTATCAAGAGAACAGAAAATAAAGTAATATTATCACCCATGGAGAAAATGTATATCAGAATCAAGTGCTGTTTATCTCTTCATAGTCGTGGTAATTTATATTCCAAAGGCACTTGTTAAACAGTTCATATAAAAAAAACCTGCATTGAAAATATGGGGTTTCTCTCAGTAATTTAAGAACTACCTTCATTTTTATTTTTAAAATATTCATTTGAATCTGTCATGCAACAATCCAAATAATTTGCATTAAATCAACTTCTAATTTTTCCTGCCTGCTTTTCCGATAAATATATCTAAACTAAGAATCAGATTTCAATTACTGTACCATCACAAACCCTTCAAATCTTTCTTCTTTTCAAGAAAATAGTAAAAAGTGAGAGAAAAATAATGCTCTTGTTTTCCAAAATCGCTAAGACCTTTCTGCTTGTAAATCCAAATACTTTGATTAAAAAAAAAAAAGCAGCACTACACTTTTGCAAACCTTGCCTCCCAATCTCATGTATGCATTTTCCTGATCTATGTATTTTCTATTATTCTCCTTTTTACTATCAATTTCTGTGTACAGACGTCACGCCAATTCTTATTACTATCATGCATCAGTTTAAGGACCGTCTGCTAAAATATGCTGATCAGCGCTTAATCAAATAAGAAGGGAAAGAAATTCCTTTCGTGCACCTCCACTGAGAAACGCAACTGAACGAGCAGGCAGATAATGTCACAAACGGACGTGTTCATACCCACTCCTGTGAAGGAAAAAAGGCTTTGGGCTTGCTCTGAAAATGAGCAGGAGTTCAGGAGAACTGATCTCTACGGGATTTTTTTCTCCTAAACAGGGTGCGCTTCTGAGCATAACGGGGTTATGTCATTCTAAGTGGAATAAGAAGCAGAGGTCTAAAATAGGTCCGACCTGAGGAGAGAAAAAACACCCCCATCGCACAGATCCGTGGCGATCTGCAGGACTCCTCCTACCTCGCCCTTCGCCAGCGCATTCGACGGACCGGTTCTAGCCCCTACTTTCCCACTTAGGGCACCAATATTAAGTACCCTGAAAAGTAAACACCTGGGTTTTTCTTTCTTTCTTTCTTTCTTTCTTTAAAATAACGATACCTGGAAAAAACGCTGCAGGCCATATGTCATCACAGCCAAAATGAATGAGTGAAAAAGCAGGGGAGGAACATTCAGAGCTATCACCCCTCCCGAAACCTTTGCGAGAGCTTGACGGGAGAGATGCACAGCTGAACACGAAGCGAGCAGCGCTCTTCATAACGGCATTAACACCCCTACCCACTTGCCTGGGATGTGCTCCTGAAGCGCTTACAACACCTTTGTTTGGGAACTTTCAACCCCCCCC